TTCTCCCGCCCCTTCAGGTCCAGAACCCTTCAAACTACAGGATGTACCCAAGAACAAGAAGGCGGAGGCCAAACGCAAGGACTCTGACGAGACGCCATCACCGCAACCGCAGCAACAGCAACAGCAGCAGCCGTCTTCTTCCAAGAACGACATCATGTCTGCGCGGCTGAGTCGTCCCCTCATCGAGCCAACCTTCACTAGCTCACCACCACTTGGCTCGCAAGATTCACCGCAGACCTCAGAATCGTCGTTCGGCTCCAATCTTCCGCTAGAAAGACCTGCGCGTGGTGATTCGCTCAAGGCTTCGACCCTCAAACCTTCAGCCCCAATCTCACGAAACGAGAGGGCCCCATCACCCACCACACCGACTCTAAGCCATCCAGAGCGAACATCATCTACCAACACAGCCAGTGCGAACCTCAACGCCGGACTTGGCATACTCAGTCCTTCGGATTCGCCAGCCTCCAAAACTCCATCGGACCCTCCAGTTCTCCCCGCACGTTCAGGTGGACGGCCAGCCCCGCCCTCGACCGACACTTTCACATCTCCACGCGCACCCCCGCAACCACCTGCCATTCAGCAACACAAGACGAGCGACTCCATCAGCAGTGCCCAAAGCGAAGCATCCCGAGATGCATATGGAGCTGGTGGCCTTCCTCGATATAGCGCCCAGGGCGATTTCTCCATGGATGAGGATTTCGCGCGTTTGCTTGGAAGCCAGGATGGAAGAGATGAAAAAGACAACGGGGTGTTCAGGAGAGTTTCGAACGCTGTGTCCAAGCATGGGCGCAGTTTCAGTGATCGTGGTTCAGTCACATCACGAGGTCACAAAAAATGGCCTACGAACGGCTCCATCGACATTAGCAGCCCGACAGTTGCCTCGCCCGACACTAAAGAGGAAGGCGTCAACCTGCGCAACGAGCTGCGCCGCGCCCAGCAGCGGATCGCTGAGCTGGAGGCCGAGAAGAACGGCCTACAAGAATCGATGCATAGTGCGGCCGACATCAGACAGGCAAACACGGTTCTGCGAGAGAAGCGAAACACCATGGCTGTCTTGGATACGCAACGTGAGATGGTGATCCGCGAGCTTGAAATCATGACTGAACACCTCAAGCACGCTAAGAGCGGCCAGGGCAATGTTGAGATCGGTCAGCTCAAGTCAGACATTCTCAAAGACTTTGCAAACTCGTTGCAGAAGCTCAAAGACAATCTGGGAAATCAAATAGAGGACCTGATCACGAAGAGATCGGAGTTGACGGAGGAGATCTCGAACCTCATTCAGATGAAAGACAAGGGTTTCCAAGAGTACGAATCGCTCACGGCCGCTAACACTAGACTTTCCGCCATGAACAGGGACCTGGTAGACAACATCCAGACCAACCTCAAGAACAACAAGAAGAGTGGACAGAACCTTGATGTTGCTGCCAATGGCCTTGGCATATACAACGCGCAGCACAAGGGCGGCAAATCAGAAGTATCCGTGGATGCACCAGTAATACCGCATGATCACTCCTATGCCAATCTCGACGATGGCGAGGCGACCGTCGCGCAGCCGCAAGTCGTTAACATTAGGAAGACCGGAAAACCCACCAAATTCTCTACCTGGAAGAAGGGCGGACAAGCCATTACAAAGAACGTCACCAAGGGTTTCAAGGGAGCATTCGGTTCAGAGCAGAAGCAGGAGGACTACAACGTCAAGGTCATTGGCACTCCTTACGGCTCTGTGCACTCTGGGCCCGACATTGCAGCCATGTCCATGTCGAGTTCCATCAAAAGCCGGGATACCATGGACCAAGGAACCCCGCGAGGCTGGTTCGGTGGAAAGCCTGGCAACGTTAGACCAGGCGGCCCGCCCCAAGGCTTCAGGCCCATGCAGAACATCAACAACAGCACCACTAATCTGGCTGCTGCCGACGCCAGTACAGTGCTCTTTGGGTCTGACCTGACAGCACGATGCGAGTTCGAACGGCAGATGATTCCACGCATCGTCAGCAGATGTATCGAAGAGGTTGAGCTTCGCGGCATGGACGTGGAAGGTATCTACCGTAAAAGCGGCGGTACCTCTCAGGTGAACCAAGTGCGCAGTGGCTTCGAGACAGACACCGAGCACGACATCTCGGACCCAGATCTCGACATCCACTCCGTCACTTCTGCGCTGAAGAACTACTTCCGCAGGCTCCCTGTGCCGCTGATCACATACGATGTCTATGATCAGTTCCTGGAAGCTGGCCGTAAGTTCATACCATCAGACGACAGATCCAATGCTAACGATTGTACAGAACTTGAAGAGCCGACTGCTCAGTCTAGAGCTTTGTCTGCCGCTGTGAACGAAATTCCCAAGGCTCATCGTGATACCTTGCAATTCCTCGTGTTCCATCTGTCGCGGGTCATACAGCACGCCAGTGACAATTTGGTAAGTACACACAATAGATGTTTGACGTGTACCATGACTAATACGTGAATAGATGACACCACTCAATGTCGCTGTCGTTTTTGCGCCAACCATCATGCGGCCTATGGACATCCAGCGCGAACTCACCGACGTGCAACAGCAGCGTGTCGCCGTGCAAGCGCTCTTGGAAAACTACAAAACAGTTTTCGGTGATGAATAAAGTGAGCGCAACGCTCACAAAAACTCGCAAGGGCAATCGAAGGCGCCCAAAATTTCTGTTATATCGTTTCCATTTTTCAACATGTGTATCTACAGCGGGCGTTACCGGCCCGATCTCCAAGAGCTTGTTTGTCCTTGTCTGTGTATCATACGAATCTGCACACAGTTTTGGATCCTATCTGTATCGAGGTCCGTGAGGCGTGTATCGATGGCTACGATGGAGATTGTGTTTATACCCTTGGGGCTTTTTGCTTGGTCATCTAAGCGAAGTCAGCGATATATAATGAATTCTTGAGACTGTTGTTCTTGTATTCATCCGGTCCAGATCATTCACATGCTCCACATGGATGTGCTGTTCCTATGCTTGGCGCTTTCGCTACGTCGCCGCTAACGCGCTCAGGATGACGTCGGTCACCGCCCACTAAGCGAACAGGCATGTGAGGGAGCCTGTTTCCGGTCTCACACGATCGCCCATTGACTTCGCAGCTTCCCGGTACCCATCGACTGATCTGCAAACCTCACATCAACCTTTGCGACAGCACTTTTTCCACCTCTCTATCCAACCACCACTACCCCTCGTACATCATGTCTTACGCAGAGATGGCCGCCAAGGGCCCCAAGCAGAGCCCCGAGGAGGTGAGTTATTGAAGAGCGCTTGCAATGTGTGCCAATGCTAACTTGAAGACAGGCGTAAGTCACCCCGTTCATCTGGAAGGAGTTTACCCCTCCAACGTCAGCTTTGGCGATGCATGACGGCACCCTGTGTTGCGTCTTAGTCAAAATACAAGACCTGTGTTCTGAGGCATGAAGCTGCTAGAGTTGTTCTGACGTAGCATTGCAGTCGCGCCCCCGCCCAGCCTGAGGTCGAGCACGCTTCCGACGACAGCGTACACTCCCTTGTCGATGTAGACAGCCCGCACATCTCCTCGGTCCCCTCGGACTACGAGTCGCAATCCGTCAAGACCGACACGCAAGCCGAGCGCATGGAGCGTGAAGAGGAAATCAAGGAAGAGGCCAAGCACATCAAGGACCGCGCCGCGGCAAAGAAGGAGGCAGCCAAGGACAAGATGAAGAAGAATGCCGACAACCCGGTCGTGCTGAGCAACGCAGTTGGTCTTGCCGTTGTTGGTGGCATCGTTGGATTTGGCGCATACAGGCAGTATGCCCGCGGCGAGCTGACTGGCAAGGTCGTCGCGGCCTGGGCTGCCGTCATTGGACTGTTCGGCGTTGGCGACTACTACGTCAGCCAGTATGTTGCCCCAGCAGGAAGTGCTCTGGTGGCATATGTGCTAACATTCGCAACAGGTACTTCTTCAAGCGCAACCCACCGAAATAGACGTGCTCCCTGATCGCTTTGTTCAAATTTGCACTCCACTTCAATAGCACCTCGTACGACGGAATCCTGCTGAAATCTTGATCATCTGGACTGTACCGATTTGGCTATGTTGTCTTCATCTTTTCCGCGGTACCATACAGCAAGCAAGGGGTTCTCTACTCGGTTTCGATCTTGAGGCGAGATGCCTTCATGAGTCCACTTCTGTATATATGAGGTCAACGTTCAATATACCCGTTCAAATACCATCTTGACCACACAAAATTGATTCAGATTACGCATGAACTTTTGAAGGATTTTCTGATTACCATGTCGGATGCACTTGAGACGGTGCCCAGAATTCTCGGAAGTTCCACCACGTGATCCGAGTTCTCCAGCCACGCAGATCCCTGCTCCTTCCGCTTAGAAATGCAGGTCCCATAACTTTTACGTAGTGACGACACTTCCGTGTACCGTTGACATCCGCCACGTCTCTCTCTTTGCATCTCTTTCCTGTTTCACATCTTTTAGCATCATGTTTCGTGCAGCCCCACGGTTAATTGCGCGTCCAGCGCTGCGAGCCGCGCCACTACGGTCTGTCGCGCCGGCCAGGCGGTACTTGAGCACCGCACCACCATCACAAAAGTCGAGAAGTTTCAAGAGCTTGGTTGCGAGGCTGGGTGTTGCCGGAGCAATAATATACTATTACAACACCACGGATGTTTTCGCAGAGGAGCCAAGACGTATGTTCAGACGCCAATGGACGGACGAATTGAACCAGAGTAGCTGATCCTGCCTCAGAACTTGTCCAACCCCTCCCAGAAACCGAAGTTGAATCCGAGCACCTCCCCACCATCGAATCCATCTCCGAAGAGCGCAAGCGACGACAAGCAGTACAGGCACAACTCGAGGCTCAGAAGCAAAAAGAGGCTGAGCGCGCACAACAGAATGCGAAGCCTTCAGAAGATGGCCAGGGTGGCATAGAAGGACTCGAGGAAGAGGCAGATCAACAGGGCGCATTCAACCCGGAGACAGGCGAGATCAATTGGGATTGCCCATGTCTGGGCGGCATGGCTCATGGCCCTTGTGGTGAGCAGTTCAAGGCGGCCTTCAGCTGCTTCGTGTACTCCACCGAGGAGCCCAAGGGCATGGACTGCATCGACAAGTTCAAGTACGTCTACATCACAGTAGAGCCGCAACAGGCCTCCGAATTTTGCAATTGAGCAAGTAGCTAACACAACGCAGGGACATGCAAAACTGTTTCCGCGAATACCCCGAAGTCTACGGTTCAGAGCTCGACTCCGACGCCGATGACGAAGACGACATGACCGCCGCCCCCGAAACTCCATCCGACCCCTCCAGTGCGCAACAAGATTCCTCATTACAACCCTCCACCAATGACCACGCCGCCTCAGCTAAGGGAAAATTCTCTGGTGAACGCAACTCGAAACCACACACACCACAAAACAGCCTCGTTCCCGAAGAGTACAAGCCAAACGCCAAGCACAACCCCGTCAACGACGCAAGGGGAGATATGAGCAGCCTGGATAGCGAGAAGGAGAAGGAGAAGAGCAAGCAGAAGCCAAAGGGCGAGAGCGATACCGAGAGGGCGAACAAGGCGAGGGCACAGGTCAAGAGCCAGGAGCCTGTTAGCGAGAGCGAGAGTATGGTGCCCAAGGCTAGTCATGACGCGAGTGAGAAGGGAACAGGGAAGCTGGAGAGGAAGTAGAGGGGCTGTGAAGGGCGTAGGATGTATGAAGAGATGATGGCATTGTATTATATAGTTACGTGTACAGCACGTTTGAGGAACCAAGGGGGAGGCATTTAGACAGTGGTGTTCAACGCTTCTCTGCTACTGACGAAAATCATGTACAGTATATATAGTTTCAACAAAACGTTCAAGCAACATTCACATCTAAAGATCTTCTGCTGAGAAATCAGGCGACGCTCACATCAAAGATTCTGGTTCTAAGAAATGAGATTGCAATCGTTCTTGATAATAGAAACTACTTGTACAGCAGGCACTCCCGCCTGCCAGAAAAGGAAAGAACTTGAACACATCGGACCATTTGTAGCATAATCTTAGTTCCGAATTGCGTAGGTACCAACTCATTGTACGCCAGAAAACACCCCTTTGAGACCGCCAACCACATATCCCCAATCCAATTCAGCGCATCATGCTATCCTGACGTTTGTGGTCTTCACCGTGTCCGTTGTGAGGCTTACAATCGACACGTGAGTTACACTGTTCCAAGTCCTCACTACCGACGGCACTTGTCTGTCCCTCCTTTATTCCAATGCGATACTAAGGAAGCGCCTCATACACACACCCCGGTCTCAATTCAGAATGGCCCACGTCTTAAACATGTCGCGCGCGCTAGGATGTCTCTAAATCTCTACTTTGCTGTAGCCCTCTGCGCCTTCGGCAAGGGGCTGGGCGACACCGGCATCGACGCTGTCGCGCTTGACGCCCATGCTGTCCTCGCCCTTGCCTACGCCGAACATACGCATGGCTTCCGTTAGCGCCTGAACGGCATCTTCGTTGCTCATGCTGCCGGGCAGACCCTGGCCGCCCATGGAGCTGCTGATGCGCTTGGTAGCATCTTCAAGTGCGCGGACTCTCCTTTGGAAGTTGAGACGGTCCATGAATAGCTGCTGGCGGCGGCGCTGTAGATCGCGGCGTTCGGCGGAGAGGAGCTTCTCGAAGTCGTTGAAGTGAGCGAGCTTGAGCTGTAGCTTTTGTAGCTGGAGGTTTACGGCACCGGAGACGAGACGGGTGATGTGGCGTTCTTCGTGCGAGGCTAGTGCTGAGGAACGGGCGGCGGAAAGGGCGAAGGGAAGTGTGGCTAGAGGGTTGGGGTTGGAGGACGAGTCGGATTCCCGTGTGGCTACGGCGGTGGACTCGGCAGAGGGGTCGACGTCCATAGCGTCGCCGCCTTCTGGCTTCATGTCTGAGGCGGTCGCTGCGGGTGTAGACTGTTCGCCTTCCTTCTCTTTGCCCTTCTCTGATGGTGCGGTCGGGGCTTTGTTGATCTTCTCTTGAAGGATGCGCTTCATCTCGCCGACACTGCGCCCCGACGCTACCGCTGCCTCTGTGACGTTTGCGGGAGCAAGACCAGCTAGGAAGCTGACGACGCTGAGAATCGGGTTGTCGGCGTGGTGGATGGGTACACGACCCTCGCTGAGGTACTCCAGATCGCGCAAGAATTTGGTTGAAGGAGCTGCAGATTGTGACTCTGGTAGATCCGCCTCGATGTACTTGTCCTCAATCTCGAGCTGCAGGAACTTCATCACGCACTGCTCGCGTGTCTTCGTCTGGACGTGGTCGGCGACACGGTTCCAGTCATCGTCAAACTCCTCCAAGCCCTCGAGTAGCAAAAGAGTCTCTTCTTCCGTCCACTTCTCTTCCGTCTCGGCCGCTGCTGAGTTCTCCGGGTTGGAGATCTTTGTGAAGTCGGCTGAGGATGTGCCCTGCGGGAAGTTGCCCTCTACAAAACACCTGGGGCAAAGGTCGCGCTTCAAGCCACCAGCAGCCTTGATCTGGCCAGTCTGCTCGGAAGGTTTCGTTTCATGGAAATGTACACGGGTACATTCGACGCCGCAACTGAAGCAGTTGATGACCTTGGTTGGCTCCTTTGCAGCGGCTTCGAGATCCTTGACGTCTACCGAGCCGTTGGCGGCACCTTCGCCATTAGCAGCTTTTGGCTCCACGGATGCTTCTTTGCCATTGGCCTCGTAGATGTTTCGTCCAGCTAAAGACTTGGTCTCGCTCTTTGCCGTCGGTTGCTGGCTCGCAGCACGGTCAGTGGCTGTGAGCTGCTTTCCGTCCGTGGCTTTTGAGCCTGGTCCTGGTTGGAAAGGTTGCAGTCCGCGGGGGGTATCGACTGTGACACGGAAATGGCCGGTGAATGGAGGACCAATGTTCGATGGGCGTTCTTGAGGGTCGACCTGGTTGATATGTTAATCACGACTCAATGTAATCATATAGTGGCAAGATTTACTTGGTAGTTGATCAATCCCCACTGCTCGAGGAAAGCGTGCACGCGCATGATAGCACAGACATCTCCTGCAAGATTCCTTCGGCATGCGGTAACTGTGAGGTACTCGGATGGGTTCAGGCGGTATGTGTTGATCATGAAATCGCGGTAATCGCGGTACACGGCCGGTGTTTTGCTGCGGTTGCGACCGTTGAAGAACTCGGGCAGGGCTTTGCGCTCGCGGTAGTCGATGTAGCGCATGTCGAACCAGGTTGCGTAGCTCGGGATGATGGTCGCATATGTTTGAGTAACAAAGTGTGAACGCGCTGCTGACTGCAAATCGGCTTTTGCTTGCGCCTCTGGGTCAGCAGCTTCACCATCCTCGCCGTTCTCCTTTTTCGCGTCGTCGACGCCGCCCATCTCTTCGTCATCCTGGCCATCGGCGTCTTCCGCTTCCGGTCTTGGGCCATCGGGTGCGTCGAGAGGGTTATCTGATGCAGCTGTGGGCGTGGCAGTAGCAGGATCGTTGGAAGACTCCTTGCCGGGTGCGTCTTCGAGCATGCTGGTATCTACGGAACTTAGCGGGCTATCGACTTGGAGATTTTTCAAGGTCGGTGATGGGAACATGCGATCCAAATCGGCAAGATCCAGTGCACCTAGGAGCTCGTCGTCATGGAATAGGTCGTCCATCGTGTTGACGCGACGGGTGGTGGGTATGGTGATGATTGGAATCAGGATGCAACCTACCTTGATCGAGCGCATTGGTGTCGTTGGCACCTTCTCCAGTGAGACTTGGGTCCTGCGCAGTTGCGCTTGCTGTCGCGTCGTCGGCCATGGCTCGGGGCGTGCTGTGCGATGCGACGGAGCTGGAAGGCGCTATGCGGCAATGCAAAGGGGAAGTCGCGGGCGCGAGTACTCGGAGCGATTGCGCGATCGCAACGTGTCTTTTTCAACGTGCTGCCGCGTGGTCGTTGTTGAATGAGGGTGGGGATGGGGGGCTGCGATGGGTGGGTTGGAGTCGCGTCTGAAGTTCGCGATGCTCTCGAACGCCTAAGCAAAAAGAGCACTAAGGAGCATGGAGTAGTCTCACGTGATCAGCCTGCAGCCCCGAGCGATGCAGATGCAAGGCTAGTGCCGGATAACTAACCTGGCCAAACCGAGGTCATTGTTCTCCGCGCCGTTGGGTTACTTTCACTTTTGCTGGACGAGGCGTTCTACACCACCTTCTCGAATTTTGCGGGTCTGTTTCTTCCAGAGGCATCGCACTGTTCCCGCCCACCATGTTCTCCGCCGCTCGTCAATCCGCCCTCCGCACAGCTCGCACACGGCTTCGGCAGTCGCAACCCACGGCCGTACCCCAATACTCCGCCTTCGCACGGTTAGCGTCGACGTTTGCCATCCTCGAGCAGAAGGAAGGAAAGATCGTGTCACAGTCATTGGCCGCCATCACAGCAGGGACAAAGCTTGGAGGCTCAATAACAGCCTTCATTGCTGGAAGTGGGGTCAAGTCGGCCGCAGATGAGGCAGCCAAGTCAAAGGGCGTAGAGAAGGTCATTTACGTCGAGAATGGAGCATACGACAGGGTCAGTAGTCCAAAGGGATATCGAATGACATGGGACTGACAACATCTTGCAGTGTCTCCCCGAGAACTATGCGCCACTCCTGGTTGAGAACATCAAGAAGGGCGGTTACACACATGTCGTTGCCGGGCACTCAGCGTTTGGAAAGAACATAATGCCGCGTGTCTCAGCACTTCTGGACACACAGCAAATATCAGACATTACCGGCATCGAGAGCGAGGATAGTGAGTGGGCATCTTTTGGAGTACGCGAGGGGTTGTTAACCAGACTATAGCATTTGTTCGCCCAATCTACGCCGGCAATGCGATCATGACCGTCCAGTCGTCCGACAGCACCAAAGTTATCACCGTTCGAGGCACCGCTTTCCCCGCGCCTGAGACCGAAGGCGGAAACGCGACAGTAGAAGAGGGCGTCGACCCCAAGGCCGAATGCTCAACAGAATGGATATCTGAGGACCTCCAGAAGTCTGATCGTCCCGATCTCGGCTCTGCAGAGAAGGTCGTCTCTGGAGGCCGTGGTCTAAAATCAAAGGAGGAGTTTGACAAGCTCATGCCACCGCTAGCAGACGCGCTCGGTGCCGCCATCGGTGCATCAAGAGCAGCAGTCGACAGTGGCTTTGCCGACAACAGCTTGCAAGTCGGCCAGACCGGAAAGAACGTTGCGCCACAATTATACCTGTGTGCTGGTATCTCTGGTGCTATTCAGCATCTGGCTGGTATGAAGGACAGCAAGGTCATTGCAGCCATCAACAAGGATGCCGAGGCACCCATCTTCCAGGTCGCGGATGTTGGTCTTGTTGGAGATCTTTTCGAAACGGTCCCAGAATTGACCGAGAAGCTCAAGTCGCAATAAGCACTGAGCGCATTGATACCTGTTGTATATAGTTTGAACAATATATCAACCAAACAAGGAACACAACTGCCACGAAGTCAACTACCAGGAGACATCCCGGTACCTTCTCAAAACCATCACAAATCGCGGCATAAAGCACACAAGCACATTCAATGCTTTCCAAAGAATCTCTAACTGCACGTGAAGTATTAACCTTTTGATCTCCAAGTAACCCCGGCATTCGCAGCTTGGCGTGCGTCAACGGCTGATCGACGCCAGCACCCACCATTCGTCTCCACTACGCCGCGATAGCCGAGTCATCGAATCTGGCAATCTTGCTG